CTATTTTCAGAGAGGACAAACATGAAATTTAGAATGTCAGTCAGGGTTTCGCTTACTATTTGGTTGTCCAGTACAAAAAAAAAAAAAAAATCCAAGTGTATCCCAGCTATGCAAATAAAAAATTCCCTCTCTGTTATCCAGTCATCAGAGCAGGATCTTTGTTTCAGGAGACTAGACCATTCAAAGGCAGAGCAGAATAAAATAAAATATCCAACATATAGAGGAAAGGAAACGTACAATGTCTGCTCACTTTTATAGTTGCTAAAGCTTTATTTTGTTAATAGTACTGTTCACTCCTCAGCTTCCTAGAGAATATATTATGAAAACAGAAAAGGTAAGTTCCCCCAGCCACAAAAGGAAATGGAAATTAGTTTTCTTTCTTTTCTCAGGGGTGTAAATATTCCTAACAGTTCTGTCTACAGGCCACTAAAATGCATTTATAGAATGACATCTTGAACCCTGGAATTTGCCATTTTACTCCTTTAACTCTATGAAAATTAAACTTTGTGGAAAAATACAGCCATAGACATGAATACCTCAGTCCCCATTAGAAAAGGGGACCTGCTTCTTCATATGAAACAAAACTTTGGGGCTGTTCTCAATTCTGAGATCAGTCTATACAGACATAAAATACGGAAATTGGCTGAGCTTAACTGAAAAGGGAGCTTTAAACAAAACAGAAAGAAAACATTCAAAAGAAGTCCCCAAATTGTTCTTAATTATTATTAAATCTACGAATAAAGAGTTTGCAAAATACTTTTTAATGAAATAATTGAGTTGTGGATAAGGTAACTAAAATATAAGCAAAAGAGTGCTACCACGGCCCATAAGGAGAGCCAAATGAGTACTGGTGCTTTCCTATCACATACTGCTGGCTCATAACTGAGAAATGTGAAATGCTGGGTGAGAATTATAACTATAAAATTAATTTTCCATTAATGAACACCCAAAGCACATCTCCTCCCCTTAAATACTTCCATCTGTTTTCCTTTATTGTGACTCTCACTTACCATACTGTGTATGCCCTAGTGCTGAGGCATAAGATGACTACACTGTCCTAAACTGCATTATGGAGAAGAGTTTTATTCATTAGTTCTAGGGCATTCTGTAGGAAATTAGCGCTAATGGACACGGTGTCTGTATCACTTTTATGAGTACAAGTGTCAATTAGACAATCCACTGGGACCAAAAAACTCATTAAAGAACTTACAGTACTAAACACAATCTTTTCACCCTGACAACAACAGATTTAAATCCTCACTCTTACCAAATTTAACAAATTTTAAAATAAAACAGATTTCTTTAAATCACTTGCATTCCATTTGCTCTAATGTTTGCATATATATTTTTGATATAATTTATTTAAGTGCCAAGCAGACTTGCCCTTGCATTTCATTATTTGAACAGATAAATACGCATGAATTTTGATAGAGAATGTCCCTCTGAAACGGATCAGAGAAAAGAAAGGGGATAAATCAAGGGATGATTTACAAAGTAAATCCTGGAAGAACACATGTGACCAACTAAAAAGTGAACAGTATAGTAAGATTTACAGTTGAAAAACTGATGGTGCATCAATTCTCTCCATTACACAGAGGTTTTTATCAATTGTAATTGGTATATAAAAATGTCAGCTCTTACTGAACCCGAAATAAGAACAGAGCTTTTACAAAGTCCAAGATTTTGTGAACTGCATATTGCTCCCTTATCTCCAGTTATGAAGTTCACAGAAGTATAGCTAAACAGAATTGGAGAAAACGGGAGAGACCTAAATAAAAGTCCATTCAGGCCATCTTTCTCTACCAATGAAGGAATGTTTAATATCACCATATATTTTCTACTATTTTTCCTCACTTTTTCATGGGAAATATTGCAGAGTCATGTATCTTGCATCAGAAGTCTGAAAAACGTTGGTTGTTTTTTTTCTTATTACTGACATGTATTCCCCCCAAATAACTGTTCTCTATCTTTCTTCTCTTTCAAAAGTTAAATTTATCTACTAATCACTCAAGGACTATATGAATATTTACGATCTAGATTATCCATCTATAAGATAGCCTATCCTTAAATACAGTAAAGCTCCAGTGGTCCGGCATCCCTGATGGCCCAGCACCATCTGGAACCCGGAAGTGCTGGACAATTGGAGCTGCTCTGTCCCCGGCTTCCCCGATTCAGCCGCTGCTGAAACTGACCAGCAGCTGACTCCGGGAAGCCCGGGGCAGAGCAGCTGGGGTGATGCTGGGTTGGTCCCGCAGCGCCGAGGGGCGCATCCCCCCCACTCCACCCCAGACCTCTCATAGCCCCCCCCCCCTTCCAATAGTCCGGCATATTTGATAATCTGGCACCCCCTGGGTCCTAAAGGTTCTGGATTATCGGAAGTTTACTATAGTTTGGTAAGAAGAAAACTTAACAGAAGTACATAAGATCCTTAACTCAACAAATATCAACTCATTATCTTCTGCAGCCCAATGCAGAGGACATGACAGATTAGTAAATTGAGCTAGATAAAAATTGACTTATTAGGAAGTTGTTTTGTAGATTAAAAAGTGAGTGTTAGATATGTATAATAGATACAGGGAAAATTTCATAGGCAGAACTAAAAATACTGAAAAGTATTTGAGAAACAACTGGAGAGCATAACTAAATGAAGCACATAGTACTGACATTTAAGAACCCTGAGAGTTGAATGACTTATTTGTTTGCAGGTAATTCTGATATCCACATGTAATTTGGTTACAAATGTGGCAATGCAGTTCATAAGTAGGCTAAAAGAGCTGACATCTTTACACTCATTTCTAGTCAAGCTCTCAATCTTTCTACTCCCTGTCTTGACACAATGCTGTTACTATGCTTGACTTCTTTCTGCACAAAATGAAAACTGAATGCTTTCCTTCCACGCTGATGTCCAGTTAATTCTACATGATATAGACAAGAAAAAAATATGCATTAATATCCCCAAACTATTTTAGTTCCACAGATTTCCCCCTCCCTGTACTAACACTTGCAACTAACACAGTAAGAGGATTGTTATCCTCAGCTACAAAGGTTTGATACTTTTACTTCAAATTAATATTGTTGATTTTCTGAGTTTATTTTAACAATTAAAATACAGACGATCAGATTCTCTAAATTATATTTTCATTTCTGAATTTAATTGACCAAAATGATAAAAGGGTATCCAATGCATCCTAACTTTAAGTAATGATGTTACATTTAGAGACACTCAGCACAGCAGAAACACTCTTTTAAAAGCTACATAATTTAATCAAGCAAAGCAACTTTCCCATTTTACCCTGAAATGAAAATGTCTATAAGCTGAAGTATATTTAAAAAGTACTATTTCTAGACTTAATGGACATTTTTAAATAATATAGGATGTGACTGTTTCATTATGGTTCTCTAGTTTATATTGTATTTATACAAACTAGTGGATTCTTGTGAAAAATTTAATGGACAAAGAGTCTATTATTTCGTGTAGATATTAAAAACAGTGGCATTCAGAATGAATACAACTGTCCCCAATAATTGTAGCAATGCATCCAGTTCACTCTATGCCACTGTGCAACTGTAGAATGCTTTGTTTCTTGAAGAAAAAAAAGTTCTGTTTTTACATGTCTAATTTATTGAAGATCTTGAAACACATTTTTGGATTCAGCCAGAAAGTTGTTACGATAAAATGAAAGCTATTACTGACTTTTTTCCCCCAACAGGAATTAAGTTTTTTCAACACATTTGTATTACATTAGGCTTATTGTATAGAAGGACACAACATAACCTTGAATGTTAAAAAGGCATTCAGATTGGGAATGTGACAACTCAACAAAGACAAAAGTTCAAAGTTGGGCCTAACACTTTGCCTTGTTCCTACGTGTTTACAAAATGCAGAGATCTCAGATCTCCATGTGGTATTTTTATCCAAATACATGCTACAAAATGTAAGGGTAGCTTTCTTTGCCAGGGGAATATAACACACTATAACCAAGAACCCAAATGCTCTGTGGCAAATTACATTCAATTTTTACTATAAGGCTCTCTGGGTTTCTGCAGCAGTTATGAAAAAGTAAATAGAAAATTCTATGGAAAAGACAGGTAAACTCCATTTTTAGTTTATTGAATTAAACATGAACATGAATATTACAAGTAAAGCATTATTTATGTCCTAGTTGATATTAATTTTAGTTTACATTTTGTTGTCCTTGAATTTTCAATGTTTAATGTGGCACAGATGGCTGTGTTGCTGAAACATAACTACACCATACAAATTTGTTGGGGGAGAGGATGGAGGTTTTAACAGCAGATTAGAAGATATGTGGGTCTTTTGGCAGTCAATACAATGTAGGAAGCAATTTTGGCTTTTAGCACCAACAAGATCTCAAAGACGTTTGGTAATGGAGGGGGGTAGCAGTTCCTCTTTCCTCAGTGTACTTCTTGTGAGGAAATCCCATTTGTGACAAGATGCTGGATGCCCCATGCTTTTGTGGCCTTGCTGGAGCCCCACAGTCCTCCTACTTCCCACACCAGGAAAGGGGCAGCAGAAAAGTTTCCATCATGCCTGCCTAGAGAGGCTGTATGAAGGCAACCAATCAGAGCTCAGCAGTCTCAGATAAAAGGAGCTGAGCAGTTCAATTCCTGGCTAGGCTTATTGGGGCACAGCAGAGCATGCCTTTCTGGAGACAGCAGCTCAGGACACAACCAGGCTGCTCTCTATAGAGCCCATGGGTCCAAACCCGGATTAGTAGATGAGCCCAGATACCCCACTGACCACTGGTGACATGGTGGAAAGCCCGAGAAGGGAGCCAGGCTTGTTTCAAAGTATGAGTGAAGGGCTGAATTTAAAGACTCCTGAGCTCAGGCTGAAAACACTGGTAAGGGCAGATAGACTGTTTTTTCAACTTTTGTTACCCCAACAGCATTTTCACTGACACACCCAGCTAGTGGTACAAGCCACTTCGAAGACCTATCATCTGAGGTACCACTAGCAGGAAAAGGCCTGCATCAGCAGGAGGTACTCAAAAGGTGAGTGTCCCCCACTACATCATACAGCCCTCCCCCACTCCCACACGCAAGACTTCTGACTCCCAGCAGGTTGTGAGCCAGCTGCTGTCCCACCTTGGTGCCACTCCCCTCCCCCACCCACACATACACATACACACAAGGCTGCTGCCTGCCAACTTGGGCTGGGAGCCAGTAGCCCCATGGAGCTGATAGCTGGTGTTGGGTAACCACTAACTGTTCACATCCCTACTGGAGCAGCTACCCACCACAGGCAGCGGCTCCACTAGCAGCCTATGCTGCAGTGCAGCTGGACCCACCATGAACAGGGGTAGTTCTGGACAGGCAGAGAGCTGTTCCAGCCCTCCCCAGTTAACTTAAACCAGTAAGCTTCACCCATTAAGGGTAAGGCTTAAACATTCACACCACTACTTCACATTTTTAAGATTAGGGAGTTCTGAGCACCCATAGTGGGCTAAATTTTAGATTTTTCAGAACATTCTGCAATATGTGGTGGATTCTGTGTGGCAAATTCTCTGACCGTGGAATTGTAGAATAACTAAGGTCGCTAGGAAACCAAGCAATAATGAGGTGAAAAGTAATGTACTATCACAGATTACAAACTGGCTAAGAGACAGAAATCAAAGGCCATTTCTCAACACTGCAAAATAACTATAGGTTCAATGCAAGGTCTGTTCTATAATATATTTATTTGAGATATGGAGAAAGAGATGAGATGACAAAATTCACATGATGCAAAGACACTGATAGCCCTTTGAGTATCCTAATAAGGTTAGGTCAATGGGCAGTTTTCAACAGACTTCTGTACTGAGACATGTGACTTACTGACCTACTTGGAAAGTCCTTTGTATCTAAAGATTCTTGGCAAAACTACATAGAACTGTCCCTTCAGTGCTACTATAGCCTATCATTTTAAAAGGAATTTCAAGATGTCTAAGTTCATAGATAGTTGGCACAACAAACCGTAACTGCCTCAAATGCGTCACTACAGCTGCAATAAAATACTCATATCAAAAATCCTTATAAACATTTTGCAAAACCTGATTACTTCTAGATTAATAGTGAGTGAATAATATGGATATGCAAGGAGGGAGATTTTTTTTTTAAAGATGCTCTAGTTTTTCATATTCTGTATATGTAGATCTGCACAATTAAAGGAGGGCATTGACAAAGGCAAGGATAGGGTAGGGGGGAAAACCTGTCAGTTTTGTAAGCCTGGGACATGGTTGTTGACAGGGATGTAAAATCCTGTTTAATCAGTTAACTAGTTAATTATTATGTTTAACCAGTTAGCCACTTAAATGGGGGAGGCAAGGGACTGGTCCAGCCTGGCTTGGCTGAAGCGGGCCCGCTCCCATGATGCAGTGGGTTTCTGCAGTCAGGGTAGGCCCGCCCTGGTGGAGAGGGGTGCTGCTCCAGCCGGGCTGGGGGTTTGCCACGAGGAGGGGGCTGGCCCACCTGAGCTGGAGCAGCTCTCTGACTACATCGGGCAAGAAGGGGTGCTTCAGCCCAGTTGGGCCACTGGTTAACCATTGACATCTATAGTTGCTTATGTGGAAAGTTGTGCTCTACAGCATGCAGGAGGACTTTCACAGCTGGGAAATGCTAGGAAATCGTCCTAGGATTTGTGGCTGGAACAGTGTAAGAGTATTGGATTGTTCCAGGCTGTAGAAAGGTTTTGGCTGCTGCACATAGTAACAGGGATGTAAGGTCAAAAAAGTTTTGTTGACACTTCAGAAACAATCTAGAATTTTCACCAAACATTTGTTGCTGTTCCATCTGTTCTCCCAACCGACCTGAAAAAGTTATCAAACATTTCAACTCACAGGGAAGATGGTATTTCAACAATGTTCCAACCAACTATAAAGCCCCTATGAAAATCTGCCAAGATTTGACCAAGTTACTATCAGACTTTAAAAAAAAATTGCATTTTGCACATGTTCTGAGACTTTGTGAGCTTTAGCAGCTGGAATCTGTGAAGACTGCACCCTCACTAAGCATGCTTCATCCCCTCAACTCCTGACTGGACTCTGTGGGTGTGTATAGACTACATGGCTCCGTTAATGGAGCCATGTAGAGGAGTTTACTCGGCAAAGGGAAATGAAGCGGTGATTTAAATAATCGCCGCTTCATTTACATCAAAATGGCCGCCGCTCTGTGCGGATCAGCTGTTTGTCAGCACAGCGCAGCAGTCTAGAAGGGGATCTGCCGACCCCAGAACCCTTCGTCAGCAGACCCTTTATTACAAGGGACAGGTGAGCCAGCATGCGGAGATGCCAGCTCAGTCCCTGCCCCCGCAAGTCATGGGTCGGGCAGCTGGCGTCTTCAAGCAATGGCTCACCTATGACCCATGGGAGCAGGGACTGAACAGACGTCCTCGCGCACTAGTTGCCCAGCCCCTTATGATGCAGAGTGGCACCTGGAAAGGTGAGGGAAATGCGACTAGTGGATTTATCAGTTAGTCAACTAGTCACTTACATCCTTAATGAGCAAGGCTCCCGAACCAAGAAGAAGCCACTCATCTTTTCTGTGCTCTCAGTTATTCTAATGCTGGCATCCAGGCAGCATGGAGAAAGAAGCTGTCTAATTCAAATGCACAGTGGACAAAATGCAGACCAAAGAGGGAGTTAATAGAGTAGACTGGGATAGGAATCTGGTGAGGCAGGGCAAGGGGCCAGGACTGGTGGAGACTGCATGGAGCCAAAGAAGGGTTTAAAGGAAGGTTGAATGAAGAATCTGGACTGGGATACTAGGTCTGAAAGCCAGTGAGGAGAGGGAAATGGGAGACAGATCAGACAAGAAGCTAGGAAGGAGGAATCGCAAGTAGCTGGACAAGAAGATTGGGAGGCATGAGGGAAGAGAGACTGGGACACTGAGCAAACCCAGAGGGGGAGGCTAAGACTAGCTGGACACAGAAACTAGGAAAAGATGCCTGAGGACTAGCAACTAGGAGTAGAGATGAGGAGAAAGGAGGTGGGACAAAGAACCAAGAGCGAAAAAGAGACAAGATGAGACAGAATGAATTGGAGCAGGGCAGAAGGGGTTGGGACTTGGTGCAAACAGGTGGAAAAGAATGTGCCTACTGCACAAATACCTTTCCTGTGTCTAGAAAAGGGAACCAAAATTCCTGAGTCTCTCTATTCTCCTGTTATCAGCAAATGTTTTTGAACCCCACTGGCAAAGTATTTCATCACCCTCTAGTATTGGTCCACACACAGGATAACAACCTGCTTCTGCTATCAGTTTTTCTATTATCTCAAGTGGCAGAGTTTTGTTTGTTGTTTTTGAATGTTTCCATCCCTTCTTATGAACTTTGTGAGTGTTAACATGATACCCCGTGATGAAATTAGTTTGCTTGCTTTAAAAAAAAAAGCCTAGAAAATTATACATAAACTATGTTTAAAAAAAAAAAAAAGTAATGAACATTGCGAAGTCAAACTCTTATTTTAGGAACTGCCAGATTGCCTGTGCAATCTTAATTTGACCCTCCTGTGTGCATTCATTTATCCCCACAAGACTCCTGCCTCATTCAGGGCAAAGGATGAATCTACTCTGGTGATAAATGAGAACTATGTGATAAAAAGGCTATTTGCATTCAGGCCACCTCGCTCATTTGTTACACAGGTTGGAATTGCACAAAGAAAAAGAATGGTCTCATGGTTGAGACAATGAAACGCTATACAGGAAATGTGGTTTCTATTCATCCCTCTGACACAGAGTTCCTATGTGATGCTAGGCACATCACTTACACCAAACCTTCCAGAAGTCACTAATTGATGTGTTCCTTTCTTCAGGATGTCTTGATACCTTGGAGTCTGGTTTGCAGAAGTGCTGAGCACTCACAGCTGTTGCTGAGGTCAGTGAGAGTTGTGCCTTGTACTTATTAAGGAGCACTGCATATGTTCTCTGAAAAAATAGGTTTCAAATGCAGCACTCAAAATTACTGGAAACTTTTGACCTTCCTCTCGCTGTCTCAGCTCGCTATCTCTAAAATGATAATACCATCCCCCTTCCCCACCTTACAAGGGTGTTACAAAGATAAAATAATTTATGTTTGTGAAGAACTCAGATACTGTAGCAATGAGTGCCACAGTAAAACCCATAATGAAATGATTAACATAGGGCTTGTCTGCCCAGCCCCACAGTTCAGACTAAAGGGCTTTTGAATTACAGCATATGGTTACATGCTGCATTGCACTTCCAACATATTTAAAGAGTACTATGTTAATGCAAGTTAGCTACCTTTTAATTGGTGCTCACTGCATCCACATAGGGGAGTTACAGTGCAGCACACTAGTGCATGCTACAGTTCAGACCCCTGTCCTTAAAACCTGGACTGTGTAGACATAACCTATCTCTCTAGAGATGGTTTGAATACGGTTCTGTACACAAGAAGCGAGGCTAAAGACATATGTTGAATGGCTGCTGACTAAGTGAACTCTGTGCACTGAATGCAGCAGAGTTATTGTGGGGAAAAATAGTATGCAATCATATGATGAAATGTGTCAGAATGCGTATGCACAAGAATACCAAATTAAGGCACAGGCAACCTTACTTTGGTATTTCCCAACTCTGAAGTGCTTGACTTTTCAACCTTAATTATTAAGTTGTGTTAACAATGCTGTGGGTGTAATTGGTGCATACTACAACCACAAGAATGACCATGCTAAGTCACACCAATCGTCTGTCTAACCCAGTATCTTGTCTTCTTACAGAGGCTGATGCCATATACTTCTGAGGGAATAAACACAGCAGGACAATTTATTGAGCGATCCATCCTCTGACATCCAGTCCAACCTGCTGACAATCAGAGGTTTAGGAGCACCCAGAACATGGAGTGTGTCACTGATTATCTTGGCTAATTGCCTTTTATAGACCTATACTCCATTACTCACCCAGGAAGGGATTCTCAGAATATGCACCAAAGCAAACAGACAGATCCTCAAATCCATAAAGAACCTTAGGGGTTCTTTTCCCTAGTATCGGAAAAATTATTAAAACAGATGTTTGCAGAATCTATTCAGAATGTTATGGCTTAATATAGAAGGGAATTAAGTACCTGGGTTTCTAATAAAATTACAATAATAAGTTAATACAGATACACTATTGGTACAAAACAAATGGCACCATAGCCTTTTAGAATTGTATTCCTTTTTATATCCTTTTAATTATTTTACCTATTTATAGTGCGACAAGAATGCTTTAATAGTATGTGCACAAGGGGAAGGTGATTTAGGAATATGGTAATATTACTGTGAGAGCGAATCCTAAGGGAAAGAAAAAAATCCTCAAGAGAATCCTTAAAAAGAACAAAAAAGAACTACTTTTAAAAGATGCCTGTCAAACCGATCTCCAAATAATTTGTTTATACATGAAACACGGAAAAGAATATAAAAAACTCATTGAGACTAACAAACAATGAAAGAAATAAAGTACAACAAGAATGTGCAAACTGAAATAATAAAAATGAACAAGGAAAAGAAATTGAGATCAAAGTTTCTTACTTCTGCCAGAAATGACAGTAGAAATATACTGACAAATGCTTCACTACAAAGGAAATGACTATCAAAGCACCATCAGGAACCAATCCATTCTATATGGCCAAAACTGAAAGCTGTGTAAAACATTAATAGGTATGTCATTAAATTACAATGTGGTACTGCTTACATTCTCTCACTTCTCTAAGGGTATATGTCTCTGTCTGTGTTTGCCCAGTTCCGATCAGCCTTCAGATTATATATATAAAAAAATAACTGAAAGATATATACAAACAAACCCCTCCACAAAATAGGCAACTTTAAAAAAATTCACCAAATGTGTTTAGGGGAGTCAAACTTGATGCAAGAGAGCAACATGTTTTGGAATTGTGCCAAGTTGCAAAAATAGCCAGTTCTGATCAAAAACTCTACAAAATGAGGAAATCAAAGTCAAGCTTCCCTTATGCTTTGTACTGTATTCTGTTTGTTGCATATAAATGACACCACCATATTTCACAGATACCAATAGCTCTTACATAAATTGCTTCAACTGCTTAGACCAACAACACTAAGCTACAAATAATTGAAGTAAGAATCTCATCTAATGTATGCAAAATAGAATTCACAAGTGAAAAAATATTCTGCCATAAGGAAAAAGACATAGAAATATACCAGAAGACTCTGATGTTATGCGGTTCCTATAAAAGGATTTTCTCAAGATGATGATCCTAAATATCTGCTTGTAACAAAGTGACCAAGAACAATGAAGTGACACATAAATCTTTTGATTCATAACTCAAGAATTTAAGAACACATACCTTCTACTTGTATTTATATATACATATATTTCAGTAATGCTTTAACCTCAATCCTACGTAAACATTAGTTTTTCTTTGCTAGGCACTATGCACACAGTAAGCTAGCAGTTTCGGTACAACAGGATTCCCTCCATGTGCGCGCAGTCACTGACTATCAGGGATCTCACTCAAATCTCCTTCTTCGTTTCCTTCCTATGAAAGCACATCTTGTCCAACTTCCTCAGCCAAATCCTAGGAGGCAATATATGACAAAAGTGTGCTGTTCATCCACACATAAGTAAGCTACTGTCAGCAGCACATAATGCATTCCTCCACTTTCAGGAGAAGTCTTGATATAAAAATCATCAACAACTTGTCTAATATTTAGCGCTATACAGCTGTCCTGTCAATAGAACTCAAAGTGCTTTCGGAAGACAGGTAAATATTACTCCATGTACAAGCGGAGGTGCAGGGAAATTAAATGTCTTGACATTTAATGGCAGTGCCAAGAATGGAACTCAGATTTCCAATCTGGAAATCCATCCACTGGATAATGCTACTCATAGAAATGATCCTCCCCATCTGCATCAGTTGTGTATGACTTATCTCACTTGAATAAACAAACTGAAGATGTTAGGAAAACGGTATGGTTAGTGCTGATCTCTTCTCCCACTCATTACAGTTGGAGAAATGTTAGGCTAATTTGGTAGGTTGTGGTTCTGGGACATGTTTATAATGCACATTTTGCTTATTTATGGATTCCCAGGCCAGAAAAGGTGACCTCGTCTGACCTCATACAGCACAACCACAAAACATTCTCCAAATAATTCCTAAAGAAGATCTTTAAAAATAAAGACAGCCAACTCACAATCTTTAAATGATGGAGAATCCTCTAGGACCTTACTGGTAATTGGACCATTGAAAGTTCATACCTTATTTGCAGTCTGAATTTGTCTAGTTTTAACTTCTAGCCATTAGATCATGTTATACCTTTCTCTGTTAGACTGAAGACCTGATTATTAACTATTTGTTCCCCCCGCACAATAAACACGTCTCCTCTTAATCTTCTCTTTGTTAAGGAAAAACAGATTGAGCTCCTTAAGTCCATCACTACGAGGCACAATTTCTAATCCTCTGATGCTGTGATCACCAACCTGTTGATCACGATCGCAATCCTGGGGGCTCGACCAGTCAATTGCGAGGCTTTGGGGCCCCTCCTCACTGCCTCCCATCCCCAAGATGAACCCCGCACTGATGCTACCTCCAGGGACAATGGAGGTAGTGCGGGCTTCCTGCAGGGTTGGGGGGGGAGTTCTGCAGCCGCGAGCCAGGTCCTGGAAGTGCATGGGCTGCTCTTTTCCCCACCCCAAACAGCCAGCGTGGTACCTAAAACGTTGGTCCGTTGCACGCTGGGGACTTTCTTCCCCTGCTGCGTTCCTGTGCACAGGGGAAAGAGAGGGGAGGGAACAGGAGTCCGGGACTGCACCAGCTCCAACTGTTCAGGCAGCGCGCACTGCCGTGGGCAGTGGAGGAGCAAGGTGCGCGCTGCCCAAGCAGTTGGAGCTGGTGTGGACCAGGACTCCCATTTCCCCCTGCCCCCACGGAGGAAGGCAGCAGAGAAAGAAAGTCCTCGTTGCATGACCGACCGGCGTTTCTGGTACTACACTGCTGTTTGAGGGATGGGGGAACAGCCCACGCACTTCCTGGGCTTTGGCGCACAGCTGTAGGATTCCCAGGTACTGGTCCCTGTCCCCTCCCCCCGCCCAGACCCCGACAACTACCCTGTCCCCTGCCCCAGCACTCACTGGCACCCTGTCCAGGCACCCACTGGCACCCTGTCCCCTGCACCAGCACCCACCGGCAGCTTGTCCTCTGCCTCGGCTTAAGGCGCTGCATTTTTGTATCTCACTTGCGTGGCCCCGACTGACTTTTCTGTGGGTCACTGACTCCTGACTCAAAACAGGTTCCCTGCCCCTCTCATAAATAAAGACAATACTGAAACCTTTTCTGTTTGACATTTTATTTAAAAATGAAGCCTGATCAACAAGCTCCCCATTGGGGCCAAGCCCTCATCTGGCCACAGCATCATAACACTCCTGTACCCTATTTCCCATCCCCAAATCTGAGCCTATCATACAATGGAACCCCCCATCCTGAGCCTCTCAAATCCCCAAATTCCTGCACCCCCACATCCTCAATCTTCTGCCACAACACACTTGCACCATTTACACACTGCAAATCTGTGTCCTGAGCCCATCATACTCCCAACTTCCCTGCCCTGAGCCCCTCATACACGCCAACCCAAACTCCTGCACCCTAATAGCCACAAACCTGTGGCTTGCTCAGCACCCCAACTCTCCACCTGAGCCCAAGACTCCCCAGCTTGGAGTCCTTTCCCTGAGCCTGCATCCCCTTCTTCACATCATCCTGCATCCAAATTCCCTCCCAGAGCTTGAAGCTCTCACCCTTTCCTACACCCAAATTCCTCATTCCCAACCCAAAGCCCACACCTCCTGTCTCAACCCAGTGAGGGTATGGCTAGACTACAGGAGTTTTTCCCGGCAAACACTCTCTTTTGGCAGCCCCTGTATTCCTCATTCCAGAAGGAATAAGGAGGCTTTCAAAAGAAGGGTTTTTTTCCGACATTTGGCCCAGTCTAGACAGGCCAAATGTCAGAAAAATCTCTCCCAACAGAAGGATCGGAAAAAAGCGGCAGTGGCAGCCAGACCCTGAGAGTGTATAAGGGCCAGGGATAGCAAGTGATGGAGAGAAGGGGAATAGAGATGGCAGGGCCTCAGGGAAGGGGTGGGGTCTTGGGGAAGGGTTGGAGTAGATCTTGGCTTGTCCTGACATTTAAAAAGTGATCTTGGGTGTAAAAATGTTAGAGATCACTGCTTTCATCATTCTAATGGCTCTTCTCTGAACCTGCTTCAATTTATCAACATCCTTCATGAATTGTGGACACCAGAGCTGGACACCGTATTCCAGCAGCTGTCACACCTAGACCAGAGAGAGGTAAAATATCATCTCGATTTCTACTCGAGATTCTGTTTATGCATCTTAGGATTGCATCTGTTCTTTCACCCACAGCATCAAATTGGGATCTCACCTCATTATTCACTAGGACTCCCAAAATCTTTTTGAGTCACTGCTTCCCAGGATACAGTCCCCTTTTGTTCATGTATGGCCTCCAGTCTTTGTTCTTAGATGTATTTATTTAGCAGTATTAAAAAATTTTTAATTGGCCCAGCGTATCAAATAATCCAGAGAGCTCTGTGTCAGGGACCTATCCTCCGCTGCAAAATTTGTGTGTCCTCTGTAAACTTGTATCAGTGATTTTTTTTTACGTTTTCTTCCAGGTCAATAATTAAAATATTCAGTAGTATAGGGCCCAGAACCAATACCACAGGATGCCAGTAAAAATGCAGCAATGCTGTGATTATTCCCTGTTTACAATTATGTTTGAAGACCTAATAGTTAACCAATTTAATATCTTTCTAATTTTAAAATAAAATGTCATGTGCTACAACAAATCAAATGCCTTCCGGGAATCCATTACATCAACACTATCACCTTTATCAACTACATCTCATCCAAAAAAAAAAAAATCAAGTTAGCTTGTCAAGATCTATTTTCCAAAAATGCACTTTGAAATTAATATGATCTCCCTTCTATTTATTATTAATCAAACAACATACTAGCCACTTCACTATCTCACCAAGAATCAATATCAGCCTAACAGGCTAAAAATTACTTAGGTCATCCCACTTACCCTTTTTTAATAAATATCAACACAAAAGTAGGTTTCTTTCAGACTTCTGGAACTTCTCTAGAGTTCCAAAAAAAAAAAAAAAAAAAAAAAAAAAAATCTACATTAACAGTCCAGTGAACACCTCAGACAGATCTTAAAAGAACATAAAGCCTCTCAGATGCAAATTATCTATCCCTGCAGATTTAAAAAGGATTTAACATCCTTCTGGGATACAAATGCAATGGAGAAAGTGTTATAATATAATGACTACATTAGGGATGTAATAGTGTAGTTGGTTAACCGATTAATCGATAAGCAAAAGATTATAGGTTAATGATATAGACTACATGCATTCTCCCGGCTTTCCTTCCCTTCCCTCCTCCCATCTCCACTTCCCCACCCCCCGCCAGTAAATTTTAGCTGGCTGGCCAGCAGCCTGGC